CCATGGTTTCACAGTTTACTTTAAAACAAAAACCTAAAATTAGGGGCACACTCACATGCCATGTGAAAAACACACATGCTTTTACCTTATCTCATTTTAATCACATTCTTATCTGGAAACCTCTCACAGTCAAAGGTGGAAACCAGATGATTCATGATTCATGTAAGTGCGCTGTACAGGAGAAATGTTGGTCAGTGACATACACTGAAACTCGAACAGGTAGTGAGGGCAAAAAAACAACCTTTTCCTGTTTAACACTTTCTTGGTTAAGACAGGAAAGGCCTCTGATAGCGGATATGTTTGGTTTTAAAGCACAGAAATCAGTCGGAGCTGCTGTGCATGCTTCTGCAGTTTGGTATTCAACTAAAATGTATGTGTGTCTGATTTTCATATCTCCTTTACTCTTTCAAGTAATAATTCATCCTTTTTCCTCAAAACATCTGAAAACTGTAGCCTCACAAGTTATGATATAACTCTTCATGTCCAACTTTCTGCATCTCACCGCTCAACCGAACAGTGAAACTTAAGACGTGCATTGTGTTTCCATCTTATGTAAATTGTTTCTATCACAAGTCTATTAGTTTCCAGCAATGATTATTCTTGTGTTGGTGGTGGGCTGAAAAAGTCACCGAGTGAGTTTCATGGCCAGATGTTTGCACTTCCATCAGCCTCTCTCACCACAAGAATTGCATAAACGCTGCAGAACAGAAGAGGAAAGAAAAGGTGTGAAAACAAACAGGAACACACTCTGAACCTTTTGCTCTATACATAGGCGAGGGGAAGCAGACAAGACACTTTAAACCCCATGCTGTCACAGGTGTTGCATGTCGGTGTGCATACTCGTGTAATGCTGAAAGAAAAAAGAAAAAAAAAAAAAAAAGTGATAAAAATCTTGCGGTTGTGGAGGAGAAACCTTATATGAAATGGTTAGTGAAAATGATTTAGGGAGAGATTCAACACTGATATGCAATACATCAATAGTATCGGGTAATTGATAAGGCTTTTACATGTCCTGTGTTACGTGCTGCATGCATTTCCTCCTTCATAAGCGTATTTTAAATCCTGAATTGGTTACATCCATGTTCCCTAGCTTCTTCCATGTCTTAACCTGCACAATGCAGCATGTCTTGGCATGTTACCACCACCTGTTGAGCACTGGAATAATGTGACGCCACCTGCATGCATGTGTGTTACAAAACATTCACAGTAAAACAGCTCAATTGGGCTTCACCTAAGGTGCAAAACTTCACAGGAGTTAAGAGACATGGAGAAGCTGATTCAGTACATTTCATTCTGATTAGACAGTGAAGTCTATCAACATGTCAAAGGTGTGAGCTGCTGCTGCTGTTTGTGTGTCAGTACATGATGTTCCTATTAACATACATACATACGTACATACCACAGGAACCAACCTCAGCTGTTTCTGCGAACTGGTATAATAAAGATGAGCAGCGTGACTGGAGGATACTTGTTTCATTGCTCTGTTGTATGCAGTTCTACAGTTTTCACTTCTGTCTCACATTTGCAATTAAGTATTTAAATCTGTACTTTTTTTAAGGTTGAGTTTCAGTGCTTCAGTTAAGATCAGTCTTGTATCAAGTCACTGCTCAATTATGATTACACCTGCTTTTAATTTTGTGTCTACCCTTAACTATACTAATGTTTCTTTTTTGAATTTGTGCTAGTTTCTGTGTTAGTGTAACTACCGTAGTGCCAGTTTCATATGTTGAGCTGTGACCTCGTGTCTCCCTTTTGCTGTTGTCGCTGTGCACGAATGACAAATCCGCTAGCCAGCAAATGTATGAAATGCCAAATCCCATTAAGCATTACACCAGCAAGGGCAGGAGTACACACATGAATGAATAACCTCTATTCAACTGCAGGTTAGAGAAATTGAAACTAAAAAGTAGAGATCATTCATGCAGTTAATCTGATCAAATGGCACGAGGATGGTCGGTCTCTGATGTGGTTCATAAAGGAAGTTGAAGAGTGTTTTTGCTAGAGAAAGGGTGATCTGATACTAGACTGTCTTAAAGTAAGACTTTCTGCACGCTGCTGTTCAGCAAGTAGAATAAATGCAGATGTTCCGCTGAGGTTGCCAGCGTCACTTAAATGTCAGTGAGCATTCGGTACTGTCATCTTTCTTTTCAGCACCGACCGATTCTGCAGTGGGTGTTAATTCAGAGAAATGCTATTCATCAGTTTCTGTGGAAAGTGCACCTGCCTACTCACACAACTTCTGTATATCTGCTAATCATTACTTTATATTGGTGTAAAGTCCCTTCATTAACATAAGACGAGAGAGCAGCATGGAGAGTACTAGCTTGTTTCTAGACCGTCCAGATCTGTGTGTGTTCATTATTTATATCATTATTTAATATTTGAAGATTAGAATTCACATCATTGCATCTCAGCTGCTTTTGTAGGCCATTTTTCTGTACACCTGTTTTGTGCATGTGATCTTCACCTTATTAACTTATTACTGAAAATAAATTAAATCTTGTTTTCATCAGCTCTATATTCGAATGACGCTAGTCTTGCTTGTATTGTGTGTTGCACTTGTTTTACTGTATGATCCAAACACACAAGTGCTTTATTTAAAAAGTCTTGTGAGATTTTTATTGTGGGGTTTTCAAATTGTTATCTTGATCGGTTACGAACAGAAACTGATATTTGCACGTTTTTTCATATAGAGCTAGGTAGAGGAGAGATGATAAAATCAGCCAAATATAAACTGTACTCTCTGTCGTCAATTTTGTGACTGAGATGGCAGATAGAGGATGGACAACTCTGCAACATGAAACTTTACACTTAAAACTTTAGGAGAAGTTAGATTGTGCAACATCCCTTTTTATACTCTCTCTTGAATGACCAGAATGAATGTATGTCCGTCCTCCTGAGGCTGCAGCTGTCACTCAAATGACATGTGTTTTTTTAGTGAATGACATGGTAGCTTTGACTGAAGTGAAGTTTACCAGCCTACTCACGCACATGACGTCTTATGTTTATGTATAGTCATGTCTTTAAAGTTCTATCGTCTTTATTGTTCACTCAAACATGTTCTCAGTGGGTGTCGGCCTTCATCAGGGTTGCTCCTTGTCACCCATCCTGTTTATGATATTCATGGACAGGATCTCGAAGTGCAGCCTGGGGGAGGAAGGGGTCCGGTTTGGGGACCTCAGAATTGCATTGACCTAACGACCTAAAGAATGAAATTGCGGATACAAGTGGACGAGTTTCCTCCGTAGCGTGGCTGGGCTCGGCCTTAGAGATAGGGTAAGGAGCTCGGAGTGGAGCCGCTGCTCCTCTGCATTGAAAAGGGGTCAGTTGAGGTGGTTCAGGCATCTGATCACGATGCCTCCTGGGCACCTCCTGTTAGAGGTGTTCTGGGCACATCCCACTGGTAGGAGGCCCAAGGGCAGACCCAGAACACGCTGGAGGGATTACATATCTCATCTGGCCTTGGGGGTCCCACAGGAGGAGCTGGAAAGCGCTGCTGGGGAGAGGGACGTCTGGGGTGCTTTGCTTGGCTTGCTGCCCCCACAACTCGGCCCCGAATAAGCGGATGAAAATGGATGGATGGATGTTCACTCTTTTGCTGTTTGTTCTCATACCTTCAGTTCACAGTAAGAAACCACACAGTGTTGGACCGTGATGTGGTTTGAAGCGTGACAGTGTGCCGTTGACATTACCATGCCATTCACTAAAAAGCTGCAGTGCAATGAGACAATGATGCAGCTATGGTCGAATTTTTAATCATAAACCATGACCACATGATCATCTGTGCAACAAGTTTTATGTTGTAGTTGACATTGTGATTCATATTTTTGTGCATTGAGGATTTTAACTTGCTGCAAACTATGAATGTCCTCTCTTCAATGACCAGAATCAATGCATGTCCTCCTGAGGTTGAGTGTCACTAAACTGTCAGTGAATATTGAGTTTTGTCACAACATATATACACACGTCATGTCACAATATTAGTAAGATGTATTTCTTTTCAACAACAGAGTCTGAGAGGAAACTGATGAGGTGGGTGTTAATTCAAAGAAATGTTTTTCATCAGTTTCAGTGGAAAGTGGTACAGTACCAGCCTACTCACACATGTGACATCTTATGTGTTCTTAAGTTTTATTGTCTTTGTCAACGTAAGACAAGTGGGCAGCTTGAAGAGCACTAGTTTGTTTTACAAACCTGTGAATCACCATCCAGATCTCTCATTTGTTCAGTGTTTTAATATTTCATTTTCACAAATTCTTTGTGAACATAAAACATCATTATGTTTTTTAAAAGTGGAAAAGTGGAAATGGACAACTTTTAACCTCCCTCACATTTCAGAGTGGTATTACTGTTTGCACTGCTGTTGCAACGACAAACAGACCGCTGTGCGTTTTCCTTGGAGCCAAGCAACAGCCACAAACGAAAGACACACTGCATTTTGTTTTTCCAAGTTACTTCAGTTTATTCACCATCCGCCATTTCTGGCACAGGGGATACTAACTGCAAAGAACTTAAACTGATACTCTTTGGTAATTGGAGATAGCCACAGGTTGCTACAATGGAAAACAAAAGTGCTGTTCTCTTCCTGTTTGGGTGGTACAGTGGTCAACTTCCTTTGTGGCTTGAATTGAGCCTTCATTTTCCCAGGAGTTCCTAGCTGATGGTGAACAGAACTGCATAGTTAAAGTAAGGCTTAAAGGGAAGACCTATAGCCATTACACTGTGCAATCAATATTTACTTCAAAGCAAAAAAAACCTATTTCTTACTTTTAAGAGATAATTGGGTTTTGTTTTGTTTTTTTGAAGAAAAGAAAAAGTAAAAAATATAAAATCAAGTTTTAAATCACAATAACTCTTAATAATAACAGTTGCTCTAATGTTTTCTAAAGACATTAACATCTTCTGCATGGCTGTGCTTCTACTTGTCACACTTCACGCATGGTTAGAGGCGGGTTTTGTTCTCTTGTCTCTTCCTCTATAGATGCATTCACCATTCAACACTGGATCATTAGAGCTTTCTGCCGTGTAGTACCAGCTTACTGTGGAGTATACAGTATCAAAGGATTACAATTCAGTAAGTTATTACCTTGAATTTTATTTTTTTTTATCATTTATCATAAATCATTTTTAGATGATGCCTATATTGCTCTTGGCATATATCATTATTTAATATTTGAGGATTTTAATTCACATCACTTCATTTCACCTGCTTTTGTAGGCTGAACCTTTCTGTACACCTGTTTTGTGTAATTAACTAATTACTGATGAACATAAATTGAATATTGTTTACATCTTTTTTCTCACTCTTTTGCTGTTTGTTCTAACAGCTTTAGTTCACAGTAAGAGGCCACGGCGTTAGTGTGTGTGATGTGGTTTGTAGCGTGACAGTGTGCCGTTAACTTCACCATGCCATTCACTAAAAAGCTGCAGCACAATGAGGCGCTATAGTCAAATATTTAATCATTTACCATAACCTCATGATCATCTGTGTAACAAGTTACATATGCTAGTCAACACTGTGATTCATATTTTAGTGCATTAAGGATTTTAACTTGCTGACAACTCTGAAACTAAGTGTTACACATGCTTTCTATGTGTATTAATTTCTCTTCCCCATCTGCTGACACAAAGAAATTCTGTATATACCCCAACAGTCGAATAACTGAAATGTACACAACTTTTTGTGGCTACAGAGGGAACTGAGATTAGGTCACTTGGCATCGTACCTTCAAACCTTTCAAAGTTTTGTACTGCTGCACCACGGTGAAGGAAATGCATTGTGGTATTTCAGCCTCCACATTTAAGGTCTCTTCTGTCACCTCCAAATATTTCAAAAGATGATGCCCATCCCTCTGATCAGAGGGAACTCAATGACTGATGCACATGTTTGGCAAAAATGTAAAAAAAAAAAAAAAAAAAAATACTTATTCTATATTTTAATTTTTGACTTCAGGATTCTTTTCATTTACATTTTTCCAAAATGTTTGTTTATGTTTCTTAGAGGACAGAGATAGATAGATAGATACATAGATAGATAGATAGATAGATAGATAGATAAGTAGATAGATACACAGCACCACCATGTGGTTCAAACAGACTTTACAGGTAAGATGCTTTAACCAAATGAATGTATACATGTCCTCCTCATTTTCTTCTTCTTCTTCTTCTTCTCTTGCAGAAGTTCAGTGATGGACGACTCTGACGTGATTACACTGACGGGAAGTCTCCTTGATGGCCTTGATGATTTATACGACAACACCTCTGATTCATATGAAGACTATTGTTGTGAAGGGGGTGATGTATGTGACCTGAGCGAGGGCATGAATTTTGAGGCGGTCTTCATCCCAGTTCTGTACACGGTGGCGTTTGTTGTGGGTGTCCTGGGGAACGGAGTGCTGCTGGGAGTTCTGGTTCAGAGCAGGAGGACCTGGAGTGTGACAGACACCTTCATCCTCCACCTGGGTGTGGCAGACGTCCTGCTGCTCCTGACACTTCCCTTCTGGGCTGCACAGTCGGCTCAAAAAGGTGGATGGACCTTTGGCACCCCCCTCTGTAAGATCAATGGAGCTGTTTTTACGGTAAGAGGCGTGCATCAAAGGGCATGATGGGTAACAGAAGGTTGTTGCAAAAAAAGATTTTTCACATCTCTTTGTACCCTCAGATCAACTTCTACTGTGGGATCTTTCTGCTGGCCTGCATCAGTCTGGACCGCTACCTGTCCATCGTCCACGCTACCCAGATGTACTCCCGCAGGAAGCCCTGGGTCGTCCAGGTCAGCTGCTTGGCAGTGTGGCTCTTCTCCCTGCTCCTCTCTATCCCTGACTGGGTTTTCTTGGAGGCTATGAAGGATGACAGGCGAAACAAAACCGAGTGTATTCGCAACTACTTCACGTTTTCCTCTGAGTCAGTAGGTGACTGGCGGCTGGCATCACGCCTGCTCTACCACACAGTGGGTTTCCTGCTGCCTTCAGTCATCATGATCTTCTGCTACTCCTGCATCCTGCGCCGGCTGCGGTGTGGCTCCCATGTCCTCCAAAAGCAGAAAGCATTCAGGGTCATCGTGTCTGTGGTGATGGTTTTCTTCCTCTGCTGGACGCCATACAACATCACACTCATGGTGGACACGCTTCATTCCAACTACACCATGGACACCTGTGGAGTCAGAACATCTCTGGAGAAAGCCAAGATAGTCACCTCCTGTGTGGGTTACCTCCACTGCAGCCTCAACCCCATCCTGTATGCCTTTGTGGGCGTGAAGTTCAGGCGTCAGCTCCTGGAAATCCTGAGGTCTCTGGGCTGCAAGCTGTCGACAAGTGTCAAACTGCACTCTGTTGGTACGAGCAGGAGAAGCTCCATCTGGTCTGAGTCTGCCGACACCTCTAACTCCATCGCTATTTGAGAGAGAGAGACACAGACACATCAACAACCACATGTACAGACCTGCACAAACTTAAAGACTGACTGACATGAAGACCGAGACAGCTGAGCACAAAGTGTTAATGTAAATTTCCTGTATTCAGTAGCCTTAAACAGGCTATGCATTCTTTCAACTTCTTGTTGTTCTCACAGTGTATAAGTAGATGAACATGAGCATGACCATCAGACAAAAATAATATTGTCTTTCAGGGATTTGAGGTCACACACCTGGACTTGTTGGCAGCTATTTTTCTTGTAGTAGAAATATAACATTTCCCTTTTCTGTCTGCAAGGTAACATGATAGCGACTGTTTTACAAGCAAAGTTTTAAATTATGTATATTTTATACCATGATAATACTGTATATTGCTTTGTTTTTCTCAATAAAGAATAAAATAGTTTTTTTTCTATTCTAAACCAGTGTTTTCATCATTACAATAAAACAACAGGAGCCTCTGAGATTTAAAAAAAAAAATGTCTTCACTTGTGACTGTTTTTTAGGCAATAAACACACCTGCCAGATTCAAGGCCTTGAAGTGACTTTAGACCATTATGTAAATTTAAACAAAACTAGAAAAGTGCACCCAGTGGAGCACAGCTCTCTGACAGCCACCCGCCCAGGCTGACCACTTAAAACAGTCTTGTCATTTTAGCAGAAGCCCTGCAGCGCGTTTCAGAACTATTAAAATACACATGTCGTCTATTTTTAAAACAGCTGCAACGTGTTGCCCAAAGCACATCGAGTTTTCCCGCAAACAGGCGCTGTATGTGAAATATAAATATCCTTACCATATAATTATTATGATGACTGTATTTTTAATGACTAAGACACAACCATATATCTTTGATCCATGTTTTTTATAGCTGGACTTTTAACAGTATTAACTTTGTGTCATTGTCTGAGGGCTATAAAACAACAATACAGGAAATGAACACAATTAAAACTGACAAAAAGTAAAAACATGTCACTAAATAGCCTACTTACTTATGGTGGAAGCACAAGTATCGAGGAAAAATGACCCAAAATCTCCAAGTGTACAAAATATGGCAGGCAAATCGCTCCACTTCTGAGATGTTCCTGGTGTGTTGTGATGCCGTGCAGTGGACAGAAGGAAACTGTGTTGCAGGCAGACTGCAGACAGACATTTATAACTCCAGACAGATTACATTTGCAGTGGAAACAAGACAGCCCTACAAACTGCGCCCACCCCCAGACAAACCCGCCAACATAATGGTTATCTGAACCCTGCTACAAGGTGCCACTGTAGTGAAAATATATGAGGCCATACATAACGATAATCAACTTTATAACTCATTACACATGAAGACATAATGCATTTTATAAGCAGGGTAAAAGGTGTGTAAAAGTAATTAAAGGCCTGTCCCAAATATAGGCCTGTTGGTTTCAGTTGTTAAGCAAATAATTGCCCGGGCTATTAAAGTTTTACGGTAGTTTGAATAATCTAATAGTAAATATGTTACAAATTACATTTTAGGCCATGTATTTAGTAATCTGCAGTGGAATTAGCTGCTTCTCTTTTAACCTAGCTAGCTGATCACTTTTGTCGTGGCTTTGGTTTCCGGGCCAAGAGGCAAAAGGGGGTGATCGTGGACTGACGCATGGATATGGTGGGCGGGTCACGTAGCTGCTCCAGCTGCAGCTATACCTACTTGCGCAGAGAGTTGCACATGGTGAAATTGTTCCTCCCGGCTCCTTTAAAGGGATAGTGCACCCAAAAATGAAAATTCAGCCATTATCTACTCACCTATATCCCAAGGGAGGCTCAGGTGAAGTTTTAGAGTCCTCACATCACTTGCGGAGATCCCAGGGGAGAGGGTATAGCAACATAACTCCACCCAATGGAAGCTTACAGTGCCCCAGATTCCAGCGAAAGCACGTGAACACACAATGAGGCGAAAGACAGAGTTCAAATGACGTTTTTCCAAACAACTTTTTATGTCAGGGCTTCAGGACGCTTGGATCACTACGGATGAGCAGTATGGAGATATTTTGTGGTTTCAATTATGTCTTGTGGACGTTTGAATCTGGGGCGCCATAAACCTCCATTAGGTGGAGTTGTGTTGCTACCCCCTCTCCCCTCGGATCTCCGGAAGTGTTGTGAGGACTCTAAAACTTCACCTGAACCTCCATCGGCATATGGGTGAGTAGATAATGGCTGAATTTTAATTTTTGGGTGCACTATCCCTTTAAGGCCAAGATGGATGATAAAAAAGACAAGGACTAACTCATCTCGTATTGTGACAAACTTTAGTGGATTAGGACATATTGGGTATGGAATTCATCTGCAGATGCTGAGGTTCAAAATGAAGCCACAATGAAAACCAAAATGTGGCCTGAAACAGACTAGGTAAGGCTTGTTTTTCAACACATTCTCACTCTGACCTCATCACATATTGACGTTTGGTCATGGACTTCCACATCCAGATACGACATGGAAGATACCCTGAGTGTGTTGGTTGTTGATGATCTGGGATGCCATGTCAAGTTCTGCCTGTTACAGCATTGTCTTCTTTCGAAATACACTTCCATTTTCACAAGACATTTACATAGTCTCTTTGAAAATAAACACACTACGTCAGTGCAACAGTGTGAATCAATGTTTCTTTCCTTCAACAACAAACACATGCGGTTATGTTTTGCCAACACATACACATGTTTGGGTTTAGGCAACAAAAGCATGCGGTTGGGTTTAAAAAAAGAAAAGAAGAGGGTTAGGCTTTATAATCTCACGGGAAGTGCACCCCGCTCTCCCAGGTGAAAGTTTGTGGTTGTTGTACCCTCCCATCCACCGTATTTGGACTTCTGTCACCTTAAATGTCGCTCTTGTCTCGCTGCTTTTACCCCTGACACCGTCGGGTGCCATTAAACTATGACAGCAACCGAGTACATATCATGCCGACATGAAAGGACAGCTTTTTTCGTCTGTGTCTGACGCCGGACAGTGCTGCCCAGGCACCGGAATTTGACGACTTCAGAGTGAGACGAGATGTTTTTAGCCGAGATCATATCTGGAAAACATAGCGGCCCCTACTGGCCAGTTAAGAGGTGTAAAGAGTCAGCAGTCGACGGTATAAAACAGTCAATGAAACAGGTTTTTTTAACAATTGTGAATCACTGCAACCACAAGAGCTTCTTAAACATACAGTCAGAAATGTGCACACAAAATATGAGGCTGAATGGTCCAGTAGTTTGCTAGATTAACAGCGGACAGACAGATACACAGACACAGACACACACACACACACACACACACACACACACACACAAAGACAATAAAATTGAACAGTTATTTGAATGAAAAGATTTATTTGTGTGTCACATACAGCCCAGGTTGATCTCCAGTGGGCCAGACCAGTGAAACCACTGCACTGAACCTGTGAATAACAGCACCTCTAAATGTTTCCATTTCATTTCATGTGAAGAAGTACAAGTACATTCTGAAAAGAATTAACATTTTGTCTGTTTTTCCGCATTCAGTCAGTGAACTTACTCACTGTCATTACATGTGCATTTTTCTGTTTATGTCCTGTGCAGTAATGCACAGTAACATCACCACACCAAACTAAGGTGGCAGCTATTAAGGAAGCAGGTTAAATTATCACTGCCTGTCCTACTTTTGTAGTCTTCTGAGGCTGCTTATTGACAACACTTTGCACACTGTTTAATATCTCTAAATAAGACCACAATAAGTATTCATTGTTATTTCAGAGAACTGTATTCTGATCCACGTGGAAAAGACTCTGAAGCAGCATTTTACATAAGGCAGGCTACTGAATATTTAACCAGCTCCTGAAACCTGGCACCTCTTTGCCTATACACATGCACCAGTATAAGGTGCGCAGAGTCATCCAGTGGGTCAGATTGGACCCTTCGGCAGGCCAGTTTTGGCCCACAGGCCATATGTTTGACAGCCCTGGTGTATCGTGATGAAGACTTTGTCAAATTCTGTTTATCACATCCAGATCAACACCAAATTTGAATGATGTTAGCCTCCTTGTATTATGTTTGTTTTCCTCTATGATCCAAACACACAGGCATTTAAAAAGTATTGCGCACTGTAAGAATTTGTGTTTCAAAGTTGTAATCTTGATTGTAATTAACAGAAACTTTACAGCTTGTAGAGAGGTTATAAAATCAGCCAAATATATACTGTAATGAATGTTGTGTGACTGAGATGGCAGATAGAGAACAGAGAAGTTTGCAGCGTGAAACTTCACAATTTGAACTTTAGGAGAAGTTAGATTGTGAAACATCCCTTTCTATCCTCTCTACCATCTGTATGCATTGAGCATGGGAGATATTTTAATATATTAACATTCTTAAAATGTTCTAAGTGCTTATGATATAGTTAGGATCCGGTGATCAAACAAAGAACTCATACAGAGATGAAACCTGCAAACCAACACGTAGCGGTTTCAGTGGAAATTTCATACATCTTTTTGACAGGAAATTGAAACAAAGTGACAAAAAGCAGCCGCACATCCTCAAACGTGTGGTTTGAGCAGAAGGGTGACAAGAAGTATCTGAACAATGAGCACCAAGATGTGCCGTGTCCTGTGTGAGACTTCTCAGTTCAAGACACAAGTATCAAAAAAAAACAAAACATGTCACCACTGTTAGCCCTTTACAGCACCTCTCATTCATAATTAACATGAGAGGCAAACATTTCACAACAGCAGGGGGGTGGTGGTGGTGGTGGTGGTGTTTAAAGATATTATCACCTCTTAAACTGATTGATTGCAGCAACAACCAGTGTTGTCTACAGTAAATAGTTCAGTCTAGAAGCAGCAGCTCTGCTGGTTCGGTCACTGTGTCAGAGAACAAAGCGAGCAACAGGTTCATAGTCTCTCCCACAGTTAGGGAGTCGAGATCTTGGCTGCACACCCATTCACACACATCAAACTCTGTGCGGTCGGCTATGTGGTCAGCATGCACTGGTCTTGTTTTTAGTCATCCAGTCACGATGCTCGATGCTTTTCTACTTTTCTACTTTGATGAAGCGGTTTGTCTTGATCATATGGGGGACTCAACTCCCTTTATTGTGGACAGTCTGTGTTTGACAACAGCTTTTTAACTTATAGAAAAGTCCTGACTGGCTGCTTGTCTCTTGGCTGATAAACTGTAGCTCACTCATTCCCAACCCCCACTAGGGGTCACCACAGCTTCACAGTGGGTTGAGAGGCCTTCGTGAATCTTTCTTTACTATATAATGATGAAAACTCTGTGTGTGGGTGTCTCTGTGTGTCTGTTCCATGTTTTCCTCCTCACTGACTTGGTCAATCCATGTGAAATTTGGCACAGTGGTAGAGGGTCATGGGAGGATGCGAATGAAGCAATATTACATCAATTGGCCAAAGGGGGGCGCTATAGCAACCAATTGAAATTGCAAAATTTGAATGGGCTTATCTCATGCCCCGTATGTCATAGAGACATGAAACTTTGCACAGAGATGCCTCTCCTCACGAGGAACAAATTTGCCTCAAGAACCTATAACTTCCGGTTATATAGATTTTCCGCCTTTTTGAATTTTTTGAAAAACACTTCAAATCGATCTCTTCCTAGGAAGTTTGACCGATCTGCATGAAACTCGGTGAACATAATCTAGGGACCAATATCTAAAGTTCCCTCTTGGCAAAAGTTGGAAAACTTAATAAAACTGAGCTTCTATAAGGCAATGAATATTGCGGAGGGCGTGGCTCATCACATAAAGGTGTATAACATCTCAAGGGTTTCACCCATCACCACGCAACTTTGTAGGCATATGACCACACATAATCTGAGGGGACCCCTCCATTATTGACCACATCAAACAAAATGGGGGCGCTAGAGAGCTAATTTCTTATCTAGGCCTAACTGCCACATCGATTTTTAATAAACTTGGTAGATATGAAGAACAGGACGCCTCAAGGTGACTGGAGAAATTTAACTCTAATTGGCAACTGGGTGGCGTTATAACAACAGAAAAATGTTTAAACATGGCTAAAATGCGACCGATCACTGTGGCTCCCCCTGTGGCCGAATGTTTTTTTAAACACTTTAACTATCTGCCTTTCAACGTGCTACCTCAACTACTAATGTACAGTTTTAGCCCACTAACTATCCCACTATTGGCAATGGTACTACTGTACTTTCAATAAAGCAATTGTACTATCAAATTCACAAAAACTCTGTCTGAATACATTGCTCTTCTTAATGGGTTCAGTTGACTATTTAATCTGCAATTTCCTATGACCTGCATCCCAAACACACACCATTTGAAACTGTACGTGGGCAACTGTGCACTCAATGGGTATGGACTAGTTTAGAGGATGTAAGAAAACTTACAAAGAACACACAGTGAGTATACAGTCTTTCATTTATGTTAAGAACACTAAATGAACTTGTCATTTTTTTAATTTAAAATTGGTATTTTAGCTATAAACTTCAAAAAAGCATGGTGAGGACCTGAACATGAGCTGTACTCACAGAGTCTTCACTCTCTGCTAAACAGAACAGCCTCATCCTGCATTAGAAAAGCACACACTTAATCTTCTGGGGTTGCCCTTCAGTTGCTCCCTTCTGTACTAAAATTTTTGGCATTCTTGAAACGATTTTCTCGACCAAAATGACCTTTAACTTTGAAGCGATGTACCTGATCAGACTGGAGGAACTCTAATGGAGGAAAAAGGATAAATAACAGAACAATGGCAAAGTGTCAGGAAGAAGAAAAACACTAAACTTGTCAAAAAAGAAGCCTATTACGTATGTATGATTATTAGAAATTAAAGAAAATGCATCATACAGACAGAGAATCGTACATAAAGTTCATAAAAATATCAAGAAATCTTATTTCTGAGGTAATATTGATAGGAAATAATCTGCTCATACTCCATCCAAATCATTTCACACCAGCTTTTGCATATATTGTGCTCACTATTTGGGTTTATTATACAGTTTGTCAGTTGTTTTGCATTGAAAATAACATCAAATATTAAACTACAGGGGTGATCACTTTACTCAATGATAGAAAAGGGGTCCCTTAAAGTAGAAGCTTGGGAACCACTGCTCTTGCTGACACAGGAAATACCATTTCAGTCTGATGCAACACTCATCACTAATTATAAGCAGTAATGCTATCAACTTGACGTGCTGCTGCTGTCACAGCCAACCAGCATTTCTCAAGACCACATTATCATGAGACTTCAACTCCAGATGAACTTGAACACTATTCCTTTGAAACAGAAAGAGGAACAGAAATGAGTGGCCTGGGAGAAGGGAGTTTGTATCTACGTGTATCTAAACCAACACTCAATAATGAAAGTACATTTAATTTCCTGTCACATGCTTATGAGTCAATATCGTTATCTTGCCTTGAATGCGGAAACAAATCGTGCCTGGCAGGTTGTAACCTGCACAGCAAAAAGATAGAAAAACCACAAGTGTAGTGCTCGGCACAACATGCATTGTGATCTCTTATTATAAATAAGATTTTATCTCTTTGAATGTCTTGCTTTCCTCTGACACCTACACTTTTTTCCAGTCAACTGCCCTCATGCACAAAGCACACCACTGTTCTCTCCACCAAACAGACAAGTCTTCTGATGAGAGTAAACAGAGAGCTGTGAAAAGGCCGCTGCAGCAACAGAGAGCTGTTTTTTCCTCCTCCTCCTCCTCCCCCCACTCATCTGCCTCGCTCTCTGTCACCTGACTGGTGACATCACCACCTGTTTGTGTCATCCTGCGTCCTGCAGTCCACACACCCATGTCGCAACAATGAAGTAAAAGAAATAATTAAGGCTGTGGGATTTGCCGAAGGGAAATTCCCTCACTGCTTTCTCACACACACACACACACACACACACACACACACACACACACTGCACAATCGTGGAATCCACACAGTCTTTACTGCCTGAAGATAACAGGGTAACATGGAAAGTGAAACAGTTTGTGTTATCAGCAGTGAAGTTATGAACTCTGTCTGGCTTTTTAATGGCAGATCACAATTATAGGATATTATTATACTGTAAATATACTGTTTCGACAAGAGCTTATATTCCCAACAGTTCCAACCATTATGACATTAGCTTTATGATGATTGTGCAGCAGTTTAAAACTGTTCACATGTTCACACACACAATTCTCTCACTAAAAAATAAAATAATGTAAAAATAGTTTGCTTTCAATAATAACAATAACAATAACAATAATAATACACAATAAAAATACAGATATCTACAATTGAATTAAGAACTAATGATTGAGCGTGACAAGCTACAGCGATTACAAATAAAAGTACAACACTATGTGTACGTCATCATGACTTGGCTCGGAAACCTTCACATTAAAGTGCAATGTGAAAGACTCATTTTTATAAATATCTGTTTCTCAACATTATGTCATCTTCCCTTGAACCCATGACATGATTTCACACTAAATTCCCCAGCAGCAGGGGTGGAGCATTATTCAGGTCACTTATGAGTCACAGGACGGCATTTCTGTCCACCGATCAGCACTGAGGTGACGGCGCTTGATCTACAGCTGTCATCTGTTTCATCTCTTCCCCCGCATGCTTCTGGTCAGGCACAGTCGCTTCGCCCACACCCAGCTCCCATAGCGAGCCCTCTGATTCAACTGTAGCTCGTTTCAACATGGCCAGCGTCCGATTCCTGAAGTTTCCACACAGGCCGAGATAGAGCAGGGGCCTGAGGCAGGCGTGCAGGCAGCCAAGCCCAGATGTGACCATCAGCGCTCTCTCCATGGAGTGCTCATGATTACCAGATGAAACATCACCAGGTTCTTTGGACCTGCTCCTGAAGGTGTCCACAATGAGTGCGAAGTTGTATGGCACCCAGCATAGTAGGAAGACAACTACCAGGGGCAGGATGACCATGACGGCCTTCTGCTTCTGGACGCCTTTATAGCTGCGCTGCAGCCGCAGCAGGATACAAGAGCAGACGATGATCAGGGCGCCTGCAGGCAGCAGGAAGCCCAGCGTGTGGTGGAGCAAGCGTGCGGCCAGCTTCCCATGAGTTACTGGCTCAGAGTAGCTGCGATCACACAGTGTTCTCTCCTGTGTCGTTTCTTTCATCTCCACCAGGAAAATACACCACGGCAGTGTGAGGATCAAGGAGACGATCCAGACCGACAGGCAGCTGATATGAGCTAACCTGGGGTTATCATAGGAGTACAGCCGAGTGGCGTGGACGATGGACAGGTAGCAATCTACGCTTATGCAAACCAGCAGAAAGATCCCACAGTAGAAGTTGATCTAGGAGAAAAGAAAAGGAAAGCTTGAGTTATCTTGTGTAAGTTGAAAACTTCCAGCCATATTTTTATCACTTTCACTTCTCCCCTCATCTTGCTTCTTCCTAGGAATGCCTGGAGGAATGTGGTAGTCAATGGGGAGTATAAACAAATGAACATATCAAGTACAATGACCCTGGTCTGCCAAGAGTCTTCATCAAAGAGGAAACAGCAGTCTACAGCCAAAAACACCCTTCTTACATCCCTCTTTCACTTTCCAGTCCCTGCCTGTTCCACACACAACCTGGTACTTACATTAAAAACAGCCACACAGATCTTGCAGAAGACCACGCCAAAGCACCATCCACCTTGCTGAGCGGCCTGTGCAGCCCAGAAGGGCAGCGTGAGCAGGAGCAGGATGTCCGCGACACTCAGGTGGAGGATGAAGGTGTCTGACATCCTCCAGGATCGCCTCCTCTGAGCCAGAACGGCCAGGAGTAGTCCATTCCCCAGCAGACCTATGACCAGCTCCGCAGAGTACAGAAGCGGGGTCAACACTGCTTCACTGGCACTTTGCTCAAAGTCTTCTGGGTACTCATAGTCCTGGTAGTCATAGGTGTCATTCTGGTGGAATAATCCATCGAGCTCCGGCACAATGTTCATCTTCTGTGGAGACAAGAAGGTTCAGCTTCAAAGAAACAAATGCAAAATGCTGCAGTGGCTCAGAGACCAGCTTATATAACCTCCTCTCTCTGTGTCTCAACTCTGCTGTGTCAAAGTCAAGTTTTGAAAATCTCCCCTTGGGAAGTCCAGCTGAGCTTTATAAACACGATCAAACTCATACATCACAACTCACATGGTGCGATGTCACCGGATGAGGCAACAGTGGAGTGGGTTTGAACGGAAAGCCCAATTCCTCTTGGTCACACACAAACACACGAACACAAAACCTAAGCTGCTATGTCATGCACGGTGGCTGTGTGCTACACTCACTTTTTAATATTGATGGAGGTAGATATGCAAACACAACATGAGAAGCAGAAGTGCCTGTAGGACTACGTGCTGATGAGACACACTGGTGCGCAGATAAATATTGATTATACAGCTGGATCCGGTTTGAAACGGAGTCCACTAAGAAACAGAGAGGGAAAGACTTGGCTTCATACTTTAAAACACACTAAAGCTGACATTATCAAACAGGCTTGTAGTTAAAGCATAGTTTGCGCATGTGATTTCACTTACCATACAGGGCGCAGGTAGCCTCTCTGTGCACTGCGGACTGATGACACTTAAAAAGGACAACCTCCACAGATGTCTTCACACCGGGGTCAACAACTCTGCACGATGAACCACCGTCTGTGTTTTTGGAGGGACGACGGAGGAGCTCCTGCAGCTGTCGGGCGTCCGTCAAGGACGGGACAAAAACGCACAAATCTTCCTCCGAGTCTCAGCGCAAACTTTACGTATCACTCAACTTAAAACTAAAAGATAATCGCATGTTTAAGTGGTTTGAGGGTAAATCATCGAGACGGCGGTCGGGCGATGAGAGACGCTGCGCCTCCCCTATAGGAAGTTTTAAGACACGGACGCACTCTGCGTACAGACTTTGATCTTATCTGTCACGTGCACTCAGCTCACTTACATGCACTTTATTACTGCCCTACCCGATTGTTGTGGTTCTCCAAGGGTCACCTCTTCTCACACGTTGCCAACTCTCTGCCCAGTCTGCCAACTCTCACGAAAACCCGAGTCACTTGTTCAGCCGTGTTTCAAAATAAAATGTATAGTTAAATTACCCTCAGTGTCTACGCATAAAAATCCAAGAAAGGAGGCTGAGAATTAGACAGTGCTCGTCTAGTTGTAAATAAAAAGCACAGGATGTGGTAAAAATGGCTCAGTGCATGCGGATTATTCCATTATTGGGGGAAACTGGTGTTTTGTTTTGAAGGCCAAATTGCCCAACTTCCGCGTTTCCGCTTTCTGTGCCTGACTTGACGCAACGATTGTACATATATGAACCTATGCTGTGAACACAAAGCAGTCAAACAATGAGCCGCACATACAGCTGTTCTCCACTAGATGGAGGTGTTGTGTTTCTAAAACCTGAGGACAGTTCCAACCTGCTGGTTATCAAGATATATTTAAGATGGAAAAAATCAGCAATAGGTCTTTTAATATCAGTGCTTGAGAGGGATAAATAAATAAATAAATAAATAAATAAAATTGAATTAAAGATAAATGGGAGGGATAAAATAAGGTAAAAACCAGTGGTTAAAACTTAAAAATCAAGACTTTAGTGTTGTTCCACATTAAAAAGATAGGTCTTTAATTTACACACTGGGTTAAGACGCTCTGTGGACAGCCGCAGATTCGTACCATGCACACACATGTGGTTCCATTCATACTACAACCAAGAGTCCGCATCACTTCATCGTTCCAAGGATGTGCATCTTTCCATCCACTCCATTGCAGTTGGTGGCGGTTATTCCTTTAAAGATAAATTATATTAGTGCGGGTTAAGGCGGATCTTCTCGCACAACCTCTTTTCAAAATAAGCATCCATTATATTATCTGTTTGCTGCCCAGTCGATTTTGTAATTGGAGCATGTGNAAATAAAATAAAATAAAATAAAATAAAGTCAAACAGCCTGAGTTAAAAATAAATAAAGACAGAAATCAGAGACAGAAGTAGAAGTAGAATTATAACATGGCTTAGTGTTTGACATATGTGCTAAACAACCAGGGTAGTGCTGTGGAGACATAACACATTTACTTAAAGGAACAGTGTGTGAGATTTAGGATAGGGGTAGGCAACCTGCGGCTCCGGAGCCACATGCAGCTCTTCAGATCTGGAAATGAATACAGGTTAATTTTTAACATTCAGACTTTTATTTGTCATTGTTGTAGGCCTAAAGTGATTGTTGCATTCCACAACTGTGAACATGTGAAGCCTATACATTGAATTAAAAAATGTTTTACTATTTTATCAGCTAAAATGTGCTTCACACTTCTACGACCAGGTGCCTTTTCCTCTAAATTTTGCTGAACTTCAGCGAGTCTGGAGTCTCTTTAGCATGGCTAGCTATGGATTTCAAATCCAAAAAAAGGAAAAGTCTCAGAGTAAAATAGAGGATTTAACAGTGTGTGGACAGATTCGTGTGCTTTCACCACCAGTACTGCAAAATTAAAGTACTAAATAATTATAAATAGCTGACTGCAGAGTAGCCACCTTGTAGTAAATCATATTAATGAATGCTGATTTAGACCTATTTGTAATGTTGATGGGTAAATGTGGATTTAAGCGGCTGGCCAATAATGGCTCCTTTAATAGGAAAGGTTGCCGACCCCTGATTTAGGGAGATTTAGTAGCATCTAACCTTGAGCTCTGCAAATGCAACAAACTGAAACTTCTCCATGTTAGAATTCCTTCAGTGTTTATTGTCTCTTTTTTAATCATTTTTTAAGGCTTTTTGCATTTATTGTAGCACAGCTGGAGAATGATAGGAAAGGGGGGAGAGAGACAGGGGACAACACACTGCAAAGGGCTGAAGGTTGGAATTGTACCCAAACTGCTGCAAGGACTCAGCCTACATGTGGCACACACTCTACAAGGTGAACTAGAGGTTGCCCCGCTAAGGAGGTTTTCACCGGGAGCCAAATTATCCACAGAGGTAAAAATAAAGGCGTAACCTAAAGATGATGATCTGGATCGATGTTTTCACTTTGCATCGATGATGTTGGCTCGTTGATCCTTGAATGTGAGTAAGAGTGTGTAGGATTGAGGTGGGTATATTGGCAGAAATTGAATATAGTGTATAATCACCTGAAAATAAGAAGCATTGTGTTTTTGTTACATTAGAATGAGCTGCTTATATAGGGTGTGGGTCCTCTTATGGAGATTGCCGTGTTGCCATTTCAGTTTTCGTGTTTTCTCATCAGCCACCTTAGTTTGCAGCCTCTCTGCGTCAAGAGTGTCAAAAAAAAACATTTTTTCTTTATGTGAAACTGCTTTATACAGTGTTTTTACCTGTTTAAAATACCGGGTCAGTTTGTTTTGGTGAGGAAGAGAACTCTGCGGATAATTTGGCTCCTGAATGATGAACACTGAACACAGAATTCTAACCAGTTTCACCTGGTTGCAATCTGTATTCCTGCAAAATGTTGTAGCAGAGGACCCCTAAACCATCTATTTCTTATGTGCCCCCCCCCCCCCCCCCCCCAATATTGAAACAAAACCTTTGCCGTTATTTGAGATAAGCTTATGAAATAAAATGCATTGATAAAGATGAAACCAGTGGTTCTGAACCTTTTGACTTGAGATTGATATGAAAAATTGCAATCTGAAAAGTAACTGTCGGAGAAATGTAGTGGAGTAAAATGTACAAAATAAAAAAAGAAATACTCAAATAAAGTACAAGTACATTGGATTGGTTCTTAAATACATGAGTAACTGTACTTATATTCCACCACTGGCATTAACTATGAGACCTGTCGATGCACTTGGCAACTGCATGTTGAGCCAGAACAAAGTTGGTCATAGTAAACTTGCAGAGAGAACCTATGGTGTTGATGCATATATAAACATGACACTATATATTTATTCCAAAATATTTATTATAAAAAACTTTGTACATCACAGAGGATAGATTTTGATGTATGCTAATATGCAAAATTAAAAATGAGTTACACTGTATACATTCCCTCTTTTGCAGTGTTGTAAAGGACACAACTGTAAATGGATGATGAAAAAAATTAACCAGAAATGAGAAGTTCAAGAGATATGAGATCTGACTGCTGAAGCCCCAGGCTACACCTAAACTGCTGAACAAGCTTTTTTACAAGTATGAAGAAATCTAGATGTTTCCCAAAATTTGACCTATGGACACAAAATCAACAAGTTCTCACTAAAAAGTGACGTGACAACATTAGCAAAATCAGCATGTGGGATGTGGCCTTCTGGTTTACTCTATGCTCTACTCTCACTTCATGATATCACTACAGTATTTTTTAAAAACAGAAAAAAAAAACAATGTAAGCTGCACCATACCAACAATTAGATGTCAAAGCACCAGTGGAATAAATGCACCACTTTCCCCCCTGAGAACAATTTTTTAGTCTTAATTAAGCTGCAAATATATTTTTATTTCGTCCCCTTTTCATTCCAGCTCACACTCTACTCTCTGCCCCCCTCCACCCCCTGCCTTACAAACACACACAACCACAACCACACACTCATCTCCCCTCATCCCCCCCCTCCTGTGTCTAACCAGTCTCACACCATGACAGAGTATGAGGTGTTTTCGCTTTCTGCAGAGCTGAAAGATCCTGTGACTCTTCCGCGCCTCCTGTGGCGCCATTCCTCCATCCCCAGCAAGCCTCTCTGTCCCAGCAACCCTTTACACATTTTGGCCAGCTCCCTCCTGAACTTCACCCCCACAAAACCGTACAGCAGAGGGTTCAGGGCGCAGTGTGACAGCCCCAAGCTTTCAGTGATCACAGTCCCGATGTCCACCACATAGCCAAACTGGCAACCACCTCCTACCACGTCCAGCTTGTGCAGACTGTCTACCAGCTGGAAGCAGTTGTACGGTGCCCAGCAGATGACAAATACAGACACAAGGGAGACGATAAGGTGGAGAGACTTGCGCTTTTGGCGGCGAGTGGCGTTGCAGAGAGACCTGAAGATGCGGATGTAGCAGTAGAGCATGATCAACAAGGGGAGCCCAAAACCCAGAACCACACTGAGCAGCTGCAGCCCCACCTGCCACTGGGTGGAGTTCTCGGTGAACCACACCTGGCACATGAGTGTCTTCTGATGGCCCACAGTGTACACCTCCTCCACCTCTTTGAAGTACATGTCCACTACACTCAGGCCCAGGCAGCCCACCCAGATGAAGGCACACGCAATCTGGGCATGGCAGGTGTTGCGCTTCCAGCCGGAGCTGACAGCATGAACGATGGCCAGGTAACGGTCAAAGCTGATGCAGGCCAGGAAGAGGATGCCGCTGTAGCGATTCAGGGAGAAGAGGGCACCGGAGATCTTGCAAACAGCCAAGCCGAACACCCACTCGTGAGCCCACTGCACTGCAAACAGGGGCAGGGTGAAGGCCAGCAGGAGGTCAGAAATGGCCAGGTGAAGGAGGAAGGTGTCTGTCAGAGAGAAGGCGCAGGCTCCGCCAGACTGAGAGTTTCGGTAGCGTCGGATCACACACAGCACCAGCACATTGCCCACAAGAGCCAGGACAAACACCAGACTGAACACAACAGGGGAGTACCTCTGTGCAAAACCATAGATGTCCCCCTGTTCGCATGGGGCTGCATGACTCTTGCTCGTTTCAGGGGACCAGGTAAAATTGTCATAGTCGTCATAGTCCTGTTGACAAGAGTGAGGAAAAGAGTTCTGTCAAATTCTTGAAACAGACAGGTTATCCAAGAAAAATGGACTTCTCAGCATTTCACAAACTTTATATTGTTTTATAATTTACTTGAGCCTTAATGGAGTAATGGCAGGTGTTTACAAGAAGGTCATGAAATTCTTAAAATGTAAAGTAAGATTTCTTTCAGTATTCTGTCTTTTCAAAAAGGAACTTTAAAGATTATTGGTATTTGTGCTAGATACTGTACAACATCTGAGTAACTCAGCAGAAAACATCTTTCAGAGGAATGTGCTCACAATGGATTAAACCTGTTCATGTTATAGAGAATAAAATACAAACAAGACAAACATCTCAGTTTGTGTCTCCTAATGCACATTAGAGATTAGAAAAATATCCACTCACCCAGTAATCTGTGGTTGCAAAGACTTGATCCATACTTGTGTCAGACAAGGAGGCAGCAGAACACCTGAAACCCTCCAACAGTCTGGAGAGCACACTCACAAACACAATGGGTAAACATCCTTTTTTTTCCCTCATACTCGTCCAGATGATCAGAAAGAAGAAGTCAAAATTTTAGGAACTGAATCTTTACGCATTTCAGACAGATGCAAACATAGCTAGTGGGAATGGATGACTGTGATAGGGAAATTGTGACATATCTATTTGAAACGTGGCTGCAGACAGCGATAAAACTCAGACAGACAGTGCATGACTGATAATACTATAAATGACGATACTGTGAATGGAAAAATATTCTCTTGTCTATATTCTACGTCATTTACTCCAGATCCAATTTATGTTAGAATTACAATTACAATTCTTACATGTCATAATATCAAAAGGGAACTAAATTTATTGGAATTTATCCCTCAAGAAGTGAAAAATGGTTTTGCAAAACAAGTCTTTCAAAAAGGAGGAGAAGTGAAAGTGCTGGGTTGGCAGGAATTTCGCAGTAGTAGTAATCCACTATCTTCTGTTCTGCTTGCTTTGAGATACGAGGCTTTACACGCAGACTGTATTGTAATAAGTGGGTTAAGATTGTTACTGATTATACAAATCTACGAAAATGTCAAAATATAGAAGAAAAAAAACAAACAAACAAAAACTAGCGTGAGATAGTTTTTGGTTTTGATTTTAGTGATTTTTATCTCCAGCACCTTTGCAAACATTTGGTCAGGCGGAATGTAGAGCTCTGTTCATATGTAGTACATGTTGAAAGAAACAAATTTAATTCTTGCTTACTTACGCTCTGAGATCTTGTAAAGAAGAAAGGAAGCAAAAAAGAGGCTGGTGGTTTTTATATATGGTTAGATGCACTTAAAAAGAACACATAATGAAATTAAGTAATTTGTCCCTATATGTGGTTAAAAATTACAGACTCTTAGAAGAAAACATTAACGTTCATAAGACATGCTTTGGATAAACTGACACCAAAATGGCATCTGCAAGAATGCACTATGCATTGAAATGAAATACACTGCTCAAAAACAAAAAGGGAACATTTAAATCACACATTAGATCTTGATGAACACATTATTCAAGTTGGAAATCTTTACTGATGTACAATGTGTAATTTGTTAAGAACAAAATGATGAAACAACGGTCAATGTAAACCTAAATCATCAACCCACTCAGGGCTGGATTCAAAATCATACCGAAAATCAGAGTAAAAAAAATTGAAATCACAGGCTGATCCAACCTGTGTGAATTTTATCACAGCAACTCATAGTGTGACTCAGTAGTGTGTTTGGTCCCTGCGTACCTGTATGCATGCTCCTGATGAGTCGGTGGATGGTGTCCAGGGGGATCTCCTTCCAGACCCGGATCAGGGCATCAGTGAGCTCCTGGACATTCTGTGGTGGTACTTGGTGGCGTCGGATGCACCGATACATAACGTCCCATAGGTGCTCAATTTGAATGCTGGTCAATGGCATTAATGTATTTGTCATCCAGAAACTGCCTACACACTCTAACCACATGAGGCCGGGCATTGTCCTGCATCAGGAGGAACTCAGGGTCCACTGCACCAGGAGGAACCCAGGGCCCTCTGCATTGTCATCCAGAAACTGCCTACACACTCTAACCACATGAGGCCGGGCATTGTCCTGCATCAGGAGGAACTCAGGGTCCACTGCACCAAGAAGAACCCAGGGCCTGCTGCACCAGGAAGAATCTAGGGCCCACTGCACCAGGAGGAACCTAGGGTCCACTGCACCAAGAAGAACCCAGGGCCTGCTGCACCAGGAGGAACCCAGGGTCCACTGCACCAAGAAGAACCCAGAGCCTGCTGCACCAGGAAGAATCTAGGGCCCACTGCACCAGGAGGAACCTAGGGTCCACTGCACCAAGAAGAACCCAGGGCCTGCTGCACCAGGAAGAATCTAGGGCCCACTGCACCAAGAAGAACCCAGGGCCTGCTGCACCAGGAGGAACACAGGGCCCACTGCACCAGGAGGAACACAGGGTCCACTGCACCAGCGTAAGGTCTGACAGTCATTCTGAGGATTTCTTCCCAGTACCTAACAGCAGTCAGGGCACTGTTGGCTATGACATGGACGTCTGTGCAACCCTCCAAGGATATTCCTCCACAGGTCATCACTGACCCACCGCCAAACCTGTCATGTTGGACGATGTTACAGTCATTACAGACTCTTTCACACCTGTCATATGTTCAGTGTGAACCTGCTCTCATCTGTGAAGAGAGCAGGGTGCCAATGGTGGACCTGCCAGTTCTGGTGTTCTCTGCTGAATGCCAGTCAAGCTGCATGGTGCTGGGCTGTGAGCACTGGTCCCTCTAGGGGACGTCGAGCCCTCATGCCACCCTCATGAAGTCTGTTTCTGACAGTTTGGTCAGAAACATGCACACCAGTAGCCTGCTGGAGGTCATTTTGTAGAGCAGTGCTCCTCCTGTTCCTCCTCACACAAAGGAGCAGATACCGGTCCTACTGCTGGGTTGTTGCCCTTCTACAGCCCTGTCCACCTCTCCTCATGTTACGGCCAGTCTCCTGGTATCTCCTCCATGCTCTTGAGACTGTGCTGGGAGACACAGCAAACCTTCTTGCGATCGTACATATGGATGTGCCATCCTGGAGGAGCTGGACTTCCTGTGCAGCCTGATTGGGCTGCAGGTACTGCCTCATGCTACCAGTAGTGACAAGGACACTAGCAGAACACAAAACTAGAGAAGAATCAGTCAGGAAGGATAAGGAGAGAGCAACTGTCTGTGACTACCACATGTAAAACCATTCCCTGTTTGGGGGTCGCCTTGCTTTTGCCTCCCCTCTTCAAATAACAATCAGTTAAGAAGAGTTTGGTGAACCACTGGCTGCTGACCACAAACAGACACATGCAGACTCAGCTCAGGAGCACTCAAATGCTGGTTCAGAGATTAAGTGCAGCGATGAGTCACAGAGCCGTTTTTTTTTTTCTTTCTTTCTTTCTTTTTTCTTTTTTTGCTTTACTTCCACAAACTGGAGCAGGGACAGACACGATGGACAAAATAAGCAAATTCCCCTTTCAGTATGTCTTTATGATTTTTTTTCAAAAACAAACTGTGTGAGGAACTGAACACTGACGTTGCTCACATTTCGCGGTTACTTATGTCTCGCCCGAGGGTCTTCTGGTAAATTATATTATTGTGCAATATCGCTGGTGTTTTGCTTCCTTCTGTCGATTGTTTAAATGATGAACAGTGCAATACACACCACAAAGGCATATTGTTAAGATATATATATATATATATATATATATATACACACTGTATGACTGTATGTAATCTGACACACTTCTGGAGGAGTGGAATGAGGACAGTCCTTGCTCTCCGACTTCTCCAAAGTGCCTTTTAAGTACAAAAAAACAGAAGCGTCTGGTGCATGGATGGAACACAGAACAGGCCTAGCAGGCACAGGCCCAGGGGCCCAGAGTGTCAGGGCCCGACCGGGGCTTTCACCTGCAAAATGTCACCTAAACAGACACTCACCGACCAAGAATAGCCACAAAAAGACCACAAAGATGTACAAAACAGCTGCAGCTGCAAAGACACAGAGACTCAGGACATCTATGAAAAGGGGAAGAACAACCACAAATGGATACAAAATGACGATAAAGAGATGCAGAGCAACTACAAAGTGACACAAGATGACAACAAAGAGACACAAAACCACAGAGGCTAAACAGCTAGAACGTCTGTATGTCCTGTTCCTATGTAGGAGAGGTGATGGGGCCTTCTACATGACTGTGCCCAGGGACCCACCAACAACACACCTCCATGCTTCATGTTTTTAAACTTGGGACACTGAAACGCTCCTGGGGCTTGTTTAAGTGACCTGAAGGCAAAAATGAACCCTACAGCCCTGCATGGTGTTTCACTTTTAAAGAAAGTGTGTATCTAAGAAATTAAATCCTGACTCATACTGGATTTTTGAGGATGATAGTAACATTCATATTTGAGGGTTTAAAAATGCAATTAAAAATATCAGATGATAGTTTCTTGAAAACAAAAATAACAACACTCAAATATTCTTGATACAAATCTTTTTATAGACTAAGCAGGACTTTTTACAGCGTTTAACTCAACTAGACAGCGCCCTCTGGTGGACAAACTGTGTAATGGTGACACTGTTTCTAAATGACCTCAAACCTAGTTTGGCCTTTCTGTACTGAGGTTTCTGACTTAAAGGCCCTCTTAGCTTGGAAAAGGGGCTGTATGTCTTTTCTTTTTCTTTTTGGTTTCATTTTACAACCAATCCCTTTTTTAAAAAAATGTAGTACTGTGAGACAAAACCCAAAAATATTTGAAAAATGAGCTTGCAATGTGAGAGGGAATGAGTCATGGCAGAGCATAACAATGTATCTATCTGTTCTGACTTGTCTTGGCAGGTATTTTTGTAATATGAGTTTACTTCAGCATAGTTTAGAACAGTCTGCTGCTTGGATCTGTTAATGCCAACTGCAACTGGGGTCATATTTTAAGGCCACACCTCAGTAGGTGTAACTTATGTGGGCGGCTTGAGCTGAATGTGTCTGGTTATTCAGTGGCTTCAATGGTCAAGAAAAAAAAAAGAAAGAAATCTCATGGCTCCCTAAAAAGATCATAAATGTGACATGGAAGAAAATGCATGACCATGATACAACTGAGTATAATTCTGCATTTAATTTCCACCACCACAGTGTCTTGTATATGTACATAATCATGATATACTAGTCCATACCCATTGGTAGCTTTGTCACCTTCTACCTATGCCAATCCTCAATGCCTGTTTGCACTTTCACATAGATTGACCACGTCAGTGAGTAGAAAAACGTGGGACAGACAGAATGACTGACTGACAGAATGACACACTGACAGTTTACGTGATTAGTACAACATACTATACCATGACTTAGTCATACCAAAAATTAGAAAAAAAATCCCCAAAACATTGGACCACAGGGGGAGCCACAGTGATCGGTTGCATTTTAGCCATTTTTAAGCATTTTTCTGTTGTTATAGCGCCACCCAGTTGCCAATTAGAGTTAAATTTCTCCAGTCACCTTGAGGCGTCCTGTTCTACATATCTACCAAGTTTAGTAAAAATCGATATGGCGGTTAGGCCTAGATAAGAAATTAGCTCTCTAGTGGCCCCATTTTGTTTGATGGGGTCAATAATGGAGGGGTCCCCTCAGATTATGTGTGGTCATATGCCTACAAAGTTGCGTGGTGATCGGTGAAACCCTTGAGATGTTATACACCTTTATGTGATGAGCCACGCCCTCCGCAATATTCATTGCCTTATAGAAGCTCAGTTTTAGTAAGTTTTCCAACTTTTTTCAAGAGGGAACTTTAGATATTGGTCCCTAGATTATGTTCACTGAGTTTCATGCAGATCGGTCAAACTTCCTAGGAAGAGATTGATTTTAAGTGTTTTTCAAAAAATTCAAAATAGCGGAAAATCTATATAACCAGAAGTTATGGGTTCTTGAGGCAAATTTGTTCCTCATGAGGAGAGGCATCTCTATGCAAAGTTTCATGTCTCTACGACATACGGGGCATGAGATATGCCCATTCAAAGTTTGCAATTTCAATTGGTTGCTATAGCGCCCCCCTTTGGCCAATTGATGCAATTTTGCTTCATTCGCATCCTCCCATGACCCTCTACCACTGTGCCAAATTTCACATGGATTGACCAAGTCAGTGAGGAGAAAAACATGGAACAGACACACAGACACCCACACACAGAGTTTTCGTCATTATATAGTAAGATATTACATAATTACGTTACAAAGAGATAATCAAAGTGAGTCACAAAAATGACTTTAGACTTGACCTGTCTAAATCACAAAAGACTTGCACCTAAATTTGAACTTTAACACCAGTAACTTGTGACTTCACTTGAAGTTGAACCTTTTGACTTTAAAATACTTGATACCTTCCCCTACGCACAAAGATTAAAAAGTAGTGCCATGAATCACTTCATTTCTGTTCATTTCCTGAATCAATTCACTGTAACGCTTTTCATTCCCAGCAAGTCAACATTTAATTCCCCAGATCCACTTTGAACCAATCCGACAGCATCCAATAAAGCTGCAGGAGAGAGCCGTATTACGTTACTGGGCGCCACTCATAAAAATGATACCAAAGATAGTCTTCAATGGATCCAAAAACTATGAAGTGAAAAAACAAAAAACAAAACAAACCAATTGCAGTATGCAAAATGTGTGGGTCGAAAATGACAGACAGAGAAGCAACAACTTCCATAAACCTTGTTTAAACACAAAAATACAAATTCTGAAAAGCCTTCATGATTTTTGTGAATTCAATCAATTATTTCTCTGTTGTTAAAATGGCGTTACATTTAGTGAAGAGCAAATTATGATTTGTTTAGGACTTGAGACTAACTTGTGACTTGCAAACAATAACTTGGTCCCACCTCTGAGTATTGCTTATAGGGTTAATCCCTGTGCTTTTTTGGCACGAGCTTTACTTCCTCATTATTGTGAAGCCTCACAGACTCCATGGCTGCATGTATAAAAAAAAAGGCTGTAGAAAAGTGTTGAAAAGGACATGCTTCTCTTTTCTGCAAAGTGGGCTTGGAATTGAAAGGTACATTATATATGGTTTTCTACACCCACACCCACAAACTGAGAAGTAACTTTTCCCCTACAACTATAACTGCACTGAACCAGTCCACTAAGTGCTCACCATGATCTGTCAGGTACAACTGACTTCATTACAATACAGTGACAGCTGCTGTGACTAAAAATTAACCTCAGATGTAAAATGCAGCATTAAAAACCAGAACTGTGCAAACAGAACACACAATGTAAAAACATGGGGTGGGTGAGTGTATTATTCTGTGTACACAGAGCTATTTATTGCTATTTTAACTTTTCTTTTTTAAGCATATTCATTAGAGCATCGATGCCGAAGTTGCAGACTTGTACAGCGACAAAGGTATTCTATTCACCTCTGTACAGTACGTACCAATGTCAGAAGTTTACTGAAGCACAAACCCTTTTTCAATTCACAGCTCATATTTTACTATTATTTTCCCATCCATTGAGTCGGGCCCACAGTGTGTACACACACCACACCTACCCTAAAGATAAAACCTGGTTTTTGACTGATACTGTATGTACTTTATGCCCACTTTGCTCTTCAGTTACTGACCTCGTCACGTTAGGTGCACCCTCTTGAAAGGCGATACGCCCCAAAACTAAACACTTGGGTTTTGTCTTTATAAGGTATTTGCAGCTGCCCAAACAGTCATTGTTTGCTATGTCATATCACCACAGAAACTGGGCTCTGCTGTGATGTCAGATGGGGTATAAGAGTTGTGGCCATGCCTTTGCCCTCCTGTTTGTGGATTCAGCCCGTGGTCGTCTACAACGCCAGACCACCTTTTCAGGAGCCTTAAAGGAGCCTCAGGAGGTGAGATGTGAAGCAATGTTTCCTCCAAACCAGGGTTGTCCAATCGGGCTACATGGAAGATTCTTCGGGTTTCCATTTCAATTAATTACACAAACTGATTCTTCTAATTTAAAGCTTCCATCTCTGGTTTCTGGTGCGTGATTAGTGAAATAAGCTCAAACTGGCTCTGCTTGGAAGCTTCGATGACACAGGATTGGACTCAGCAGGATATCTGTTTAGGGGGAAGCGTTAATGCAAAAAGGACTGGAAAATGTTACCAGATGGGATTTTTCATTTTTCATATCAGTGTCTTAGTACAATATGATCTGTTTTTACATTTGAATATTGCTTTGCTTCTACTTGCAGTGATGGCGTTCCAGTCAGGTGTGATCAGCTCGCAGCCTCAGGTCTCTGTCACACAGTACTCTGTGTCCCCTGGGTTAACAGACTGGAGTTCAAATGTGTGCGACTGCTGTGAGGACTGTGGCATCTGTAAGTGTTAATGTGTGTTTGTGGAAGCAGGTCGACATTAACCAACACTGTGACATGAATGTGACAATATGTGTATACATCTAACCTCCAGGTCTTTGTGCAACATTCGTCCCTTGTATCCTGGGCTGTAAGGTGGCTCAGGACAACGGGGACAGCTGCTGCCTGCCCTTCCTTCCTGGTGCCATGATAGCTTTGAGGACAAGCATGCGCAGCCGATACCACATTGACGTAAGTGTGCTAAAGTTGCCGACAAAAACAATAATATAGCTGATATCTTCCTGGAAATAAAATGCCAGTTTATAACTGTGAAATCTGGTCTATAAAAAATATCCTCCACCCCATACAATTTTTTTTTTGCATGAAATAATGATGTTTGTCACCAGTTTACTGTCCCTGTGTTTCTCCACAGGGCTCGGTATGTGATGACTGGGTGGTCATGGCCTGCCTGCCTCTGTGTGGACTGTGTCAGATGGCACGTGAGCAGAAGAGGAGAGGATGAAAAGATAGAAATGAATCTGTTTTTTTAAAACTACAAAGAAAGAGGAAATGTGGAAATTCCTTGTTTTGTACACGATTTCTGTATTTCAAATAAAAATTGAAATGTATTTGCATAACCATAGTTAAGTACTGTATTACCTAAGGATGTAGAACATGAACATGAATGATTGCCTGACAATCAGACTGAGTTGCACCTGTTTGTTTCACTTTATTATTCTATAACATGTTATGT